TTCTTTTTAAGTGCTTTTAATTGTTTTGTTTATTGTTTTAATTAATGGGGCCAAATTTATATATATATTTTTAACTGTATTTTAATATTTGTATTTGATGTTTTTATTTGGCTGTTCACCGCCCTGAGTCCTCAGGGAGAAGGGCGGTATACAAATTCAAAAAATAAAATAAAATAAAATAAAATAAAATAAATCTGTATTCTCCTAGGAAAAATGGAGTGCTATTTATAATGTTTTGAACTCCTGGAGGAAAGACAATATGTAAATCTAATGCACTGAAAACAAATGAAAAAGAAAAGAGAAAAATGGAAAGGGGAGAGAGCTATGCAGTTAATTCTCTTTTTCCCAATTGTGCAAACTGCATTGTATTTTATGGACTACCCAATACAAAGAGTTTTGCACACAGAACTCTGTCACAAATTTTATGATGCAGAAGTCATTGGAAAATTACTTGGCCCAGTAGTCTTGTTTGAAGCCCTCTAGCTTGCATATGCATCAAACAGCAAACTCTAAAAGTGTCACAAAACACTTTGTCCACAGATAGCAACTCCATGTGCTAGCCAATTTCTCCAACTATTTTTATGGACCTCATCAAACATTGTGTCCATACTCTTTCTCCAAAACAATCTTTACTGTGCTCCCATTTTCTTTCTCCTTTAAGAGCCTGGCTTTCAAGTCAGAAGCTACAGACATCACAACTCTGTACTTTTATGATGCAAGGGAACTGCCAAAGGAAACAGATGGGGCTTTATGATAGCAAATTGCAAAGAAATAAAAAGGTAGAAGGGTAATTCTGGGATTATAAAGCCCAGAATTATAAAGCCCAGAACAATCCCATTTGGGATTGTTGTACAGCTTTCCCCCCTTTAAAAATAATAAAAAAGTAGGGGAATTGTTCCATTTCATTAAACTGCTACACTGCCAATGTTGAAAAACATGAAGCCTCTAAAAGTATTTTGTTATTAAAAAAAATCCCTTGGAGCCTGAAGAATCCTGAAGTTTGGACAATGAAGAGGTTAGCATCCAAGACTTTCAAAAGGAATGATGATAATTCCTTCCTTCTTTCCTTCCTTCCTTCCTTCCTTCCTTCCTTCCTTCCTTCCTTCCTTCCTTCCTTCCTTCCTTCCTTCCTTCCTGTAAGTTTTTTATTCTTGATATCTGCCTGGACTAGTCCTTCCAGTTTACTTGGCAAGGCTTTTTGCAGTAGTTTGTTCTTCCTAGAGCAGAGGGAGAGGGAGAGGCCAAAATACACCCAGACCGGCTTTGTGCAGGATCAATGTGATGGCCCTCCACTTTCTACTCTGGTCCCTCAACCACTAGACCAAGTGGCCTGGTTTTGATCAAGACCAATATAACACTTCTAGAGCCATGGTGGGGCAGTGGTTAGCTGACTCTGCCCACTGCCAGGAGTTTGACCCTGACTGGCTCAAGTTGATTCAACCTTCCATCCTTCCAAGGTCAGTAAAGTGAGGACCCAGATTGTTGGGAGCAAAATGCTGACTTTATAAGACTGCTTAGAGAGTGCTGTAAAGCACTATGATGTAGTATATACGTCTAAGTGCTATTGCTATTCTATACATTGGGACACCTGTTGGTACCATCCATTAGATTGTACCAGATTCCTAATGATCAAACTGTTAGTCTCCGTAGGAGGCTGAAAATGCAAAAGGTAGTCATATTTCCAGCACCAATAATGCCATTTACAATACTTTCATTTCCATACAAGTCAGACTCTAGCTTTTGCCACAGAGTGTAGACTAGAGGATAGGAGCAGCAGACTGAGATTTGTTGCCACTCTATGGTATCTCCTTGCAGCTCCTAGCTTCTTGTGGATTTTCTGGCATCTGAGGAGTCTCACCACTACCTCTTCCTCCCTCTATGACCATATGGAAAAGTATGGCTTCCAGCTTCAATAAGAGTTTGAAGGGTAACTTAGAAGTGGCAACTGACCTTTGAGTTTGGAAGCTAGTTAGGATTGGGCCTGTTTAGTACATAGGTGGGAGAAAATTAGGACATTCTGGGTTTTTTTTACTCTTTGAGGAAATTGAAAAATATTCTACAAGATGATAGTTGTAAACCAGCTCCAGCTAAGAAAATTATATGGCTGTCTGCAAATACCCAGAGTTGAACTTGACTTAAGGGTTTCAGTCTTCTTTTCTAAATGATGGTTTTTTCCCCTCTTTCTACGAGCTTGAGAAGCCCCAGATATTTTTATGCAAAATGATGTACAAGCTGAAGAAAGGAGATTTTTCTCTAGTCAGAACCTAACTTAAAAAGAAGATCCCTTGCTAGCTTAGAACTCATTTTTTTTTCTCTTCCAAAAACTTTCAGTTACATACATGGGACATCACCATGTTAAAAAAAAACAAACCACAGGCGTATGTGGGATTGTATAGTTGCAGTCACCATCTTGACTTATTCTGTAGATAATCCTGTAGCAGGTAAGGCTTGCTGCTTTGCATGGCTTCTGCCTTCAGATGCATAAGCAAATATGAATTCCTTTTCTATATGAGGATATGTATTTGCATATACATTAGGTCTGTATGTCACTGAAAGCAAAGTATGCTTGAACAAAGGGTTTTAAATATGTCCCTTTGATATGGATTATAATGGCAAATGTAGCAAATATGCTTTCTGCCATGAAAGTGAGGAAGGAAGGAAGGAAGGAAGGAAGGAAGGAAGGAAGGAAGGAAGGAAGGAAGGAAGGAAGCTTAACCAAGAAAGTAAGAAAAATAAACCCTGCAAATGATTCATTCTGGTAAATGAAGAAATATGGAGGGTGATTTCACTTCAATCATTCTTACAGCTCTTAGATCTGGATTACAAAAATCCAGATGACCATGACAAGGCAGCAAAGAGATTTAGGAAACTCTGTAGCAGTACTATAGAAAAGAAGGGCGTAGAAGGACTGCACTGTAAATGGGTTAATATATTTTATGAATAAAGAGAGAAACACGCGATAACCAAAATATCTGGCACTGGAATAACTCAGATAGATGTACTGGAGCTGCTGCCTTTATTTCTTCATTTTCATTTTTGTGTATAACATTTATTCCATTTCATTCAACTTTTTTAGACACCCACAAAGTGTTAGTTCTCTCCTCAGGGAGTCTATGGTGTCCACAGTCTAAACATTTTTTTTTAAAAAAATTATTGTCTAGTTTTTCAAGAAACTGAAATGCAAAATAAAATGTGTAGTCATGTTTCTTCCTCTATTGTAACAAGTGTTTACCTCTTTTTGGAAAAATTTAATCAAGAAATATGGACTTCCAGCATTGAAAGAATATATATGCTATCTGGAGAAAGAAGTATCCAATTATTATTTTTAAATTCCTCCATGTCCCAAAAGTTTTCTCCATCTCTTCACCAGACTCCATAGCCTGAGAAACATCCTGCAAATTTCATTCAGTTACGTTTTTAAAAAAATTAAATGCCTGTCAACGTAAAATGCATTGTGTACAGTATGTATGAAATATAGTATAGAATCTTTTAGTTAGAATCTGGTCACATATTATCTAAGAGGAATGCAGTGCTTGCATAATTAACTCCAGGTAACTTTTTTAAAAAAACATTCAATCTAGGAATAAATATAAAAAAATTCTATTTAAATAATATGATTTTAACATCATACTTGGAGGTCCGGGAGTGTATTTTCATAGAATTTAATCCTTGTGTATATGCATACAAATAAATAGACATTTCATTTTATTTGACTGCATAGGCAACTGGACATCCTGCTGCCAAGTTACTCAGTGAGATTGTTATTGGAACATTTTTGAAGGATGATCATCTGCTTTCCTGGGGCAACTAGGACTGTGATTCATGGAAGAAGATGTGCTTTGCAAGCAGAAAGTTTTATATAAGGTCCCCCCAGAGAACTGTTGCTAGTCACAATTGATAATATTAAGGTAAAAGGACCTGGCTGAATGTTTTGACACAATAGGGCAGCTTCCTGAGTTTCACTAGATTTGTAGATCTATTACTTATTCCTAGATATATTCACTCTGCACCCTAGACACCACTTTACATCTTAGCACATGAGCCTAGGACATGTCATCTTTATGGCACATTTAGATAAGACTGTAACATAACATTTTTTGTAGGTTCCAAGTTAAAAAAAATGTATGCATCAAATAATGGGGGGGAACTGTTACTATGTCACTTTGCATGATTTGTCAGGAGGTATAGCTGTGTGATTAACTCAGTCTTTGGAGTTCAAAAAGTTTATCATACTTTTTTCACAGTTCCTGACTGAAAATAAGAGAGTCTATGATCAAAAAGCTGGTCATGTTTAACAAAATATTCAATTAATTATTTACAATATTCCTATGGGGTCTTTATAAGACTTAGAGCAGGGGTCTGCAACTTTAAACACTCAAAGAGTCATTTGGACCCATTTTCCACAGAAAAGAAAACACTGGGAGCCACAAAACTCTTCCAGTGCCTGACTATTTCTTGAGCAGCCACAAAACTAGCATATGTAGTTGAATTAAATGTTCTGTTTTCTTCTGAAACTTTTCTTGGATTTATCCATGGTTGGCCTACGAGGGGTTGAAAAGCTCAATAAATTGTGTGCCGGCAGGTGTCACACATCAGCAGTTGCGACCCATATTTTGAGTGACAGGGAGCCACAGCAGAGGGGTGAAAGAGCCACATGCAGCTCCAGAGCTGCAGGTTGCTGACCCCTGATCTAGAGGCAATTTTAGAATGTAAGGTGATAATTCAAACTGCTTCCCATTTATCTCTTTTTGCAAATTATAATAATCTTAAAACATTAAAATAAGATTGGGTGTAGAGTGAATTGGCCATCAGATCATTGTTCCAAACCCATTGGTGCTCATGGACTCATGGGTCCATGCTCCTTCTTTTTTAACATTCATATATTAAAAACAGAGGCAGGAAAGTTGATTTAAACGATTACTTATGTGAAACAGCTCTGATGTGCATCAGGTTTTTTCCTAACGTTTTGCTTCTATGCCACAAATACAGCAACATTTCTTTGTACCCGTAAACTTTATTAAAATATGTGCTTCTTCAGCCTTAAATTAAATTTAAAAAGTATTTTGACTCTTACAGAAATAGCATCAAAGTGTAGAAATGAGAGGATTACAATGCAAAGAAGTAACATAAAATAGCACATACAAAGGAAAGAAATTCCCCCTGCCCCATCAATTAAAAAAAATGTATGGATCTCTCTCTTGGCAGGCTTTAGATAGTTTACCCTACAATGCTGGAAAGAAAAGAAAAAGAAAGCAATAACTCTCTAAAATAAATAAACTTCATATGATATGTTTTTGAAAAGGAGCTGCAAAATTCACAAAATATAAAATGATACTGCATCCATTTGCCTTCATTGTATCAGTTGTTCTGAAGAGTATGGAATTCGTTCCATACTCTTGACAACCTGACTTGAAATTTTCTTTAGCAACCAACTTGTGAGTGTATTTTTGCAAGATAAAAGCTGTATCCTTTAGCTTTTCAGCAAGAAAGTTGTAGGTTTACATTCAGAAAAAAGGCATTGCAATCTCCAGTGGTGGAACAAGGCCCTGATTTAGCCATTACAGAAAAAAAAAACCCCATAAAGTTTTGCCATTTACAAATCAGTACTTATCTTTAAGTTGTCTGATGATATTGTTTTAGATAAAGATATAATTCAGGCATAAATGTTGGTGAGTGAATGAGAGCATTACCTTTGAGAACATTTTTTGATTCTCTTACTGCTCCAAGAGCTGAACATCACAACTTTATAAAATATATCTTCCATGTTAGAACATTTCAGTTCGATGTCATTTACAGAGATGCAAACACTGCTCCAAGACAAAAAAAAGTTTCATCTGGAAATCTTCACCCAAATTCCAGGAAATTAAAAAGAGAAAATAACTCACAAGTTTTATTCAGATATTACAAAACTGCTTTGCTCCAGACTCTGAAAGGACAACAGGCATTCATTTGTTGTAAGATATAATTTTTGACTCATATAGTATTTCATCATGACACTAAATTGTTTTGCTGGGATATGTTATGCAAGCATGAGAGCGACACATGCTCCCCTGATACACGCCACTTTGAGTTTTTAACAAAAGTGAGACACACTTGAAAAATTAAGGCTAAGCTAGATGAAGTGGAGTTTTGGTCGGTCATTTGCTTTCAGAATGCGGTACGTGTTACTTTAATAATCAAATAAACAAATAGTCTAATCTGCACTTTACTTTGCTACAAGTTCTTTCCATCAACTTTTAAGCCTTTCCAGTTTCAACTATGAGGTGAAAGAAATCAGCCTGGAGCAATAGACTGGTGAGAAATAAGGTGTTGGAGTTGGGAATATTTAGAGTGTTTCTTCAGCTTTTACTTTAGCAGTAAAGTGATAGAAATGGAATAAGACATGTATCAGCCACTGTCACTTCTTGTTTGGCTTTACAAGTGTAACTATGAACCTGACAGAAATATCAAAAGATGCATCATTTTATGTGGAAAGGTACAATGGTACAAATATTCACAGAGACAATGAGACAATTAATTATTCTAGATCTGTAATTACTGTAGATTGTCATGTCAGCAAACAATTGTCTAGGATTTGGTATAGAAGTGCCAGACCAATTGCAAACTCATGTTATTATTTATTTAAAATTTAAAATTTAAATAAATAAAATTTAAAATTTATGGCATAAATTTTAATTGAGAATAATTTCATTGCTCCATGGGGTGTTTTTTTGGGGGTGGGTGGGAAAGGGGAACTGGGGGATGAACCATAAATTAAACAGTGTTGTGGTTCCTAGTGCTTAGAATGGTTGCAGTGTGGCATACATTTCAGGAAACCTGGAAGTTTCAGCTCAAAAAATCCAACATAATACAGGTTGCGTCCATCTTGCTGCTGTAAGTGTTTTGTCTTTTAGAGTCACAGGCACAACAGCTGTTCCAGTAGCTGTTGGAATGAATGATGAGCTCAGAAACATCTAAGACATAAAAGTTGGAGATACAACAAAATATTTTCCCTTCTTTGTTGGGGTAGCTATAAAATATTTACTCAAATGTTTTATGGCACGATTTCAGAAAAAGAGGAGAGTTGGACATTCTGAGCTGAGAGAGAAAGCCATCCTGGTTGGTTGGAGGTAGTGACTGATGACCCAATGACCTCTTGAGTTTAAGTGGGAGAGATGACAGGGAAAATGACTTGGCTTTCTTTTTTCCTACTGTTGACTCATCAACTCAACTCATCTGTCACTGGACTGTGGGCAGGGAAATCTGAGCCAATATAAGGCTTTATGGAGACAACAGGTGGGTGAGTCGGGGGTGGATGAATAAGGCTTTGAAATGCCTTTCAAACTATAATGAAGATATTTTATCTTAATTAGTTTGGATATTGGATCTTCTTTGAGAAAACATCTAGATTTGGGGGTCACATGTTTGGACAAGGCCTCACATCACTCTTCAGTAAATGCCTAATGACCCGATCTCAAGGGTGTATATTAGCTTTAGTCATACAAACAGAAAAGTATCCTTACTTAGGAAATTAGAATGTTTCAGCAAAGCTAAAATGTTATCTTCTGTTCCTCGCAGCTTTGAATAAAATCTGGTTTCTTGCCAGACAGAGGCTGCTGTCCTAATGTCCTTATTAAGTCACATGAGGATCAAGTGCATAAATAATTTTGTAATGTGTACAAAGAGTTGAAATGTTTAGTGACTTTTTTTTACCCTGAAACTCACTGAAAACTTCTTTTCAGCCACTTTAGCAATGCAGAAGTTTAAATCTAACTTATATGAATTGACCGAGTAGAATAGATCAAATTAGAAAAATCCTGATTATTTGGTTACCAACATGACCAACTAAAGCTGCTTTAAAAAAAAAACCATCTGGGCACTGATACTAGAATCCACAGACTGAGGCACCAAATTATTTTATAAAAACTCCAAAAATAACATATTGAAAATAAACATCTCTGTCTCTGTGAGGTCTCATAGTCAACAGTCCTATCCATAAATTAAGTGGCAGTCTTCTGGATTTGTGGAACTGGATATCATAAATCTTGAATAACAAAACAAGTAAATATATGTTTGCATTAAAACAAAAATATTAATTGGAATCACTAGACTTTAGCACAAATATTAAATTTCCATCTCTATTGATATGTACAAAAATATATTTTTCCTTTTAATATGATTAAATTACTATTTTTTTCAACCTTAATCCCAACCAAAGTCATGGCCCGTCATCTGGTAGAACTTCATGTTGAATGGCCGATAGAATTCTCGCAGCCTTTGTACTACTTTCTGATCAATGTCAGGGTGGGTCCGTCCTTTTGTCTTGCCCAGGCAGTGGGGCTTGCTGCTGCCTTCAGCCTTTTTCAGGCATGGGAACCCCTTGGTTTTGTTGAAGTAGAAATGTTTATCTGTGATGATCCTCTTGAGGCCCAGAAAGTCCTGGACGCGGCCCAACTCACCTGCTGGATCACTGATCAGTCTCTCCCCACTGACAAAAAGGATTTGCCCAAGCGGGAAGTACAGGAGCCAATTTTCTAGATGCTTGGCATAAATGCCAATCTGGATGGCACTCCAAGAAGTATCAATCAGGCCCGTAGTCCTGTTTTTGAAGGTCAGGCTCTCAAAGGATGGGATGTCTGGCTTCTTGGAAAGGGTTTGTGTGTAGTCAGAAATGGCTCGGGTGACCGGGTCTCTCACCACCACAATGAGCTTGGTGTCCTTTGACATAGAGGAGATGCGAGCTGGTGCTTCCTTAGTGACAAAGTAGCTGGGCGTCTTCTCCATGGTGATCTGGCCATCAAGAGTTCTTGGCATCAGTTCCCTAATGAAAAACAGAGGAAAGAATTTGCAAAGCTGCACATTTGTACATGCCTATTTTCAGCTCAATCATAGAAAATAATGGAACTCATATACTGGATGTCAGCTATGGAGGAAATTTTGAAACATTTGAGCACAAGGGTTTTTTTTTTTTTAAAAAATGAATAAAGTGTCTTTTGAGTTGAGATCTACTCTTAAAGCCCTGTACATTCTGATGGTCTCTAGGTCGGATTCCACTTAGCTTTTTGAGATCAACCACAGTTAGTGAGTGATACAACATCTTATCAACAAATATTGTATCGGACAAGATAATTCATGGAAAGTTGTAACCCTATTTATAGGAATCTCCATTTGTTCTGTAACATGGGAATATTGGTAAATGGCAGACCAATTGGTGTCTTATGTAGATTAGGCCAAGGTCAGGAACATTGAATGGATTCTCTAATTGAATGGGCATTTGACAATTACATCCAAATTCAGCATTCTGGCCACTTCCACATCACATTCGTTAGTTTACAAATTTGGGAGAATAGGAGAAGGAGTTTTAAAACATTTAAATGATCTCTGGAAAAAAGTGCATATGCAAATTATTCTAGTGCAAGAGTCTTGTGAGCTATTATTTTTCCTATATTTACTATTCAGTTATACAGTACTATATCAAAAGGTCTCATCACATTTCAAAAATTATTTCATTCTAATATAAGATTATACAGGCAATGCCTTTATCTCATCATGCTATCTAGCATTGGTTTCCTAAGCTCATGAGGCTAAGCGTTGCTAGGACCATTTGTTTAAGAGAAAGATCTACAACCATCACCTGTTAAAAATAAAGCTCACCCCCCCCAAAAAAGGTCCACCATAATTCAGCTCCTCCAAATCAGATTTCCCCAGAAAATTGACCATAAGGTCAGATACAGGCAGGTGGAACATTATGCACTCTTATGAATAAGAACCATTTACCAAGTAAATAGCAAAGAACGGTTATGTTTACAAGTGGATTTACATGAAGAATTGAACCTTCTAGCTGGCATTTTGGCCACACAATGATCTGTTTCACACTCTGAAGAAATGAACACTCGGCTTGTTGGCAGACTGAAACCGCTGACTCTGTATTGTTGGGAGCCACTAGCAGTGTTGTGCTACAACCCTGGAGAGATTAACTAATGACTTGGGCATCTTCCATAGACATAAGGCTGCATGGACTGGTGGCATCTGAAAATGATCAGGGCTACAGAAATATTTCGGCAAGAGTAATTTTGAAATGCCGTTTGCCCAAACAAATGGGCGTTTGTTATTGTTATTTTTATTTTATTTTTTGCTTTAAGTTATATGCCGCCCTTCTCCGGAGACTCAGGGTGGCTTACAATGCATTAAGCAATAGTCTTCATACTTTTGTATATTTATACAAAGTCATCTTATTGCCCCCACAATCCGGGTCCTCATTTCACCTACCTTTGAAAGGATGGAAGGCTGAGTCAACCTTGAGCCTGGTGAGATTTGAACTTGCAGTAATTGCAAGCCAGCAGATGTTAATAACAGTGCTTTAGTCCACTGTACTACAGGCTCTTCTCATTTTAACATTTGTATGGAGGTTTGTATGGAGGATGCATTGGCTTAAGTACTTATTTAAGGAAGGTAACTCCTCTAAAGAGGAGTATTTTTTTTTTTTTGGCTGCATCTATTAATTCAGCATTCAGTGTTGAAATCCATGTTTACTTGGCTATTTCAAAAACTCAACTTAGAATATTGAAGCTTGCACCAATGTTTCACATACTGAGGATGATCCCCTATTTGACAAAAGTCCTACAGGCGCTACTTTCAAGCAATCTAATGACATACTTATATGTTGAATGGATTTATACTTAATTACATTATATAGAGCTTTCACTATATAATGTAACTGTGTATAAACTGTTGATTGTCTATTAAGCACTAGGTGTTCTTTAAATCAGGGGTCTCCAATCTTGGCAACTTTAAGACTTGTGGACTTCAACTCCCAGAATTCATCAGACAGCTTTGCTGCTGATGAATTCTGGGAGTTGAAGTCCACAAGTCTTAAAGTTGCCAATGTTGGAGACACCTGCTTTAAATAGTTAGATGTGAGGCCAGCAGGCATCTGAAGCTTATACATGAGAATGTGGGAAGCCATGGAGATGACCTTGGAAAAACTATATAGAATCCATTAAACAAATGCATAAGCTTGCTTTGGGTCCAAAGCACAGAGACAAGTATTAGACAAGTATTAGATTTAGGCTGGCTATCCTCCTAAGCTCCTAGGGCCATGAGGACAAACCTATGGCACTGCGGGCACGCAAGCCATCACCCAGCTCAGCTCCACCATGCATGCTTCCCGATGGCCAGATGATTTTTGGGTCTCTATCCTGCAAGCAGGAGATGTGCACGCATGCATGAAGGGAGGAGGGGGGCTACCTTTCTCCTCACTTTCTGCTGCCCGTGCCTTCCCAGATCTCTGGAGATTCCCTCCCAGCCCTGTTTTGGGAGGCGAGGCTTTTTCCCCCTCCCAGCCATTTTGGGAGGCGAGGTTCCCCTCTCCCAGCACTGTTTTGGGATATGAGGCCAAAAGGGAGGATCGTGCGCACATGTGCAGGGGGAGGGGAGCATGGGGGAGTCACGTGCACATGCATGGGGGGATCATGCTTGCATGTGCAGGGAGGCAGGGCATGTGGGAGGGACATTGCATTATAGGTGTGGGCATGCACGTGTGTGCAATAGCGCACACACGCTTTTGGCACTCAAGGAAAAAAAGGTTAGCCATCACTGTCCTAGGATATAAGAGGAAAGGAAGGAAAATAGAATCACTTGCAAAGTTTTGTTACCATAGCCTTTCACAATAAAGTATAGTACTATTTTTTTTTTGTGAAATCTATTCCCTGATCTGGACGACCTTCTAGGGCTGAAAGAAAATCAGTCAAAGCTTTGAGTTGGTCCATCAGTCACATCCAATGAACTTGTTTACTAACCTGGCACTAAAAGATATTGATGACCCGACCTGACCATCTTCATTCCACAAGGACGAACTTCATGGAAATAGCAAATGTATGTATCTTCCCAATGGATTATGGATTTGTTATCCAGAGCATACCGTATGTATAGTTTAGTTCTGGAATGGGTATTACCCATTAATACCCAAGGGCATGCATTCAGCAAGATAGCTGTAGTATATATACACACACACACACACACAGCTGCATACAGTATGATTAGCTCCTCTTAACCTAACACCTTTCATTTCTCTTCCCCATGCTGGGGAGTTTTTATTTGTTTGTTGTTTTGCAGTGGCTGATGGTGATTTACTGAATGGAAAATTGTCTATAGACTTTTCAGCTGATGAAGAAAAGAGCAGCAGTAGGCAAGCTTGTAAACAGCACAGATTTAGCTTCCATGTGGATGCCCTTGGGCACATTGAACAAAGAGTGACATATCACCGCATATTGGTACAGCAGTCCCATTTTTGAATGCATTCACAAATGGACATATAGTACTGTAGTTGTTCATTCTGATCTTTAGTTGCCTTATACTTAACCTAGCCATAATTCTCAGAAGTTGAGTTTTTTTGCCATTAAGTATGTGCCAGAGTAAACTCCCCCCCCCCACAGTTCTGGTAGAAGTTGCAGCCTACAGAATGACACTCAGTTCTCTGTTCAAGTTGCCAAGTTCCAACAGCTGAGGTCTCATTTGTGGAAACAAAATAAACAACGTGTATAAACCACACCGTACTTTCAGATATTAATTTCTGCAGTTTTGCTGATTAAAAAGACGGTACTTATGGAGTATCTGCAGATGGCCTGTCACTATCAATTCAAAGATGTTCTATGGTGACACATATTCAGATTAGAAATAGGAGCAGGGAAAAGTGTGTTGATTCACATTTCAAGAAGCATCCTCATTCACAGCCAACACATGATCTGGAACACAATCATCCTTTAGTTTTTCACATTTCTCTGGAAGTCAATATCAATGGGTGCATCTGGTATCAGCCACCTCATACTGAAGATTGTGACCTGGATTATAATAAGAATAAGTTAAAAAGTCAAGAAATTAACGAAAGAAAAAAAATAAAAAAGCTGTGTATCTGTGGAAGTAAATGAGAGGGAATAAGACAATAGAACTGAATGAAGGTGGCATGGCCATGAGGGATAGAGGAATGCATTCAGGAAAATTAAGCTGTAGGTTTCCTTATCAATGAAAGAGCTACAAAGTATGTTAGAAAGAATGAATTGATGTCCACTAGGTTGCTGTAGGTGCATTTAAAAGTACAATCTCATACATAGGTGATATCTACATCTTAAGTGCAGTAAATGATGGTAATGAGGGAGATGAGCAGTTTAGAAATATGAAATATAAATAAATAATAGATGAACCAAATATGAGTTTGGTGGAAAATTGTGCAACATTCTGAAGGTATGCAGAATGAAGGTATGCAACCCAGGGGAAATTATTCTCTTTGATGACATGAATGAGTAGGTAGAAATGACACAAGCAAGTACTGTGTAGAAAAAGTGTGGGACCATATACAAATCCAAGAATGATGACTGTTAGGAGTAGAGCTGACATAGCATGGACTAGTTCCCAGATTAGTAAGAATATTACATCAATAAATCTGTGCTGTAGGGCCAAATATCTGTTAATGTGGAAAGATGAGATAAAAAACCCCCTAAAATTTCAACTCTGGAGGACTGATGTGCATTTATATATAAAATGGTTTAATTGTTTGAAATTTGAATTTTAAAAACTTAAATGTATCACTCAAAATACGTAGCAGTCTTTGAATGATTCTCATTTTAATAATTTTTGCTTTTTTCCAGCTTCTTTCCCAAAGTTACATAAGCATTTTAATTACCTTTTAATATTCATATTAATCGGTAGACAATTAGAAATATTTACTTCCATACATTTGGAAACATTTGTCATAATAATTATTACCAGGTACTCCAAAGAGCTAAAGAAAAATGCAAAATCCTAAACTCTGCAAATGTTCTTGGA